CGGTGGGCCCCATGGGGCTGCTCTAGTCCCTACTGGTTAACCATTCACATCCCTACTTGGTGCTATTAACATAAGAACGGCCATACTGGGTTAAACCAAAGGTCCATCTAGCCCAGTATCTTGTCCTCTCACAGTGGCCAATGCCAGGTGCCCCCAGGGAATGAACAGAACAGGTAACCCTCAAGTGAGGTATCCCCGTCACCCATTCCCAGCTTCCAACAAACAGAGGGTAGGGACACCATCCATGCCTATCCTAGCTAATAGTCATTTATGGACCTATGTTCCATACACTTATCTAATTCTTTTTTGAATCCTGATGTAGTCTTGACTCTCACCACATCCTCTAGCAAGGAGTTCTACAGGCTGAGCGTGCATTGTGTGAAAAAAAAAATTTCCTTTGTTTTAAACCTGCTATCTATTACTATGATTGAGGGGCCCTTAATTTTTGTGTTACGGGAAGAACTCTACCTTATCTACCTTCTCTGAGCCTGGCATGATTTTATAGACCTCAGTTACATCTCTCCCCTTTGTCATCTCTTTTTCAAGATGTAAATCCCACTTTTATTAATCTTTACTCATATGGCAGTCATTCCATATCCCTAATCTTTCCCCTACTCCCGCTTGTATATGCCTTTTTCAATTCCAACATCTTTTTTGAGATGAGGTGACCACATCTGCACAGTATTCAAGATGTGGGACCATACCGTGGATTTATATAGAAGCAATATAATATTTTCTGTATTATTAGCTATCCTTTTCTTAACATTCTTTTTTTTTGGGGGGGGGGAAGAAGGGGGAGAAAAGTGCTGCACACTAAGTGGATGTTTTCAGAGAACTATCCATCATGACACTGAATTCTCTTTCTTGAGTGGTAACAGCTAATTTACACCCCATCATTTTGTATGTATAGTAGGGATTATGTTTTCCAAACATCTATTCTGTAATAATTTACAAACATTATATATTCTATTTTTCCTGACTTAAATAAAGGGTAACGTATGAATGCAAGCGATAAATTCAAGCAAGGTCTGTTCGTATCCAAACAGGAAAGACAACAATAGCTTCAGATAGGCACCTATTTAGTCACATCTGAGGGACAATACTAGATCCACTTGCATTGGTGTACCACCTCTAACTTCCTAGATCCCACTTCATAAACACAGGAAAACTGGGAACCAGAGACAAAGAGCTTCTGAAGGGATAAAGGTGACACTCTCATGGGACAGAGTGTGAGATTGTTGAAAGTCATTGATGAGAAGCTGTTCTCACAGATCACAGAGGCCATGGGAGGGAGTGAAGACAAACCTGCCTAAGGCATGGCAGGCTTCTAGGGGTAAGTCTACACTGTAATTAAAAACCCATGGCTTACCCATAGCAGCTAACTCAAGCTTATGCTAAGGGGCTGTAGAATCGTGATATGAACATTTGGGTGTTGTCCCAGAATCTGGCCGCCAGCCCAAGCCCTGAACATCTACACTACAACTAAACAGCCTCTGCCCCAAGTCCTAGTCAACTGACACAAGCCGACAGTGGGTGTCTACTTGCAGTATAGGCATACCTTAAGAAACATATCCATAGGTCTTCTGTTTACCGCCTGATTTTCTCTCTTGTTATGCTTTGCTCCTAAGCCAGCACATAAACCAGTGGCTCTCAACCTTTCCTGACAACTGTACCCTTTTCAGGTGTTTGATTTGCCCCCCAGTTTCAGCTCACTTAAAAACTACTTGCTTACAAAATCAGACAGACACACAAAAAGAAAAGTGGCACGTTACACTATTACTAAAAAATTGCTTGCTTTCTCATTCATACCACATAATTCTAAAATACTGTAAATCAAATGGAATATAAATATTGTACTTACATTTCAGAGTATGATATATAAAGCAGCATAAAAATATCACTGTAGGAAATTTTAGTTTTTACTGACTTCACTAGTGCTTTTTATCTAGCCTATTATGAAATGAGGCAAACATCTAGACAAGTTGATGTTCCTCTTGGAAGACTTCTGCACACATCCAGAGTATGTATACCCCCTGGTTGAGATCAACTGACAAATTATACTTTTGTTTGGAGAAAGCTATCTTCTGTCATCTGTATTCATTATTACTTACAAGATCCCCAAGAGAAGATTTGCAGGTAACAACCCCTATCTGACTGGGTGAGTAGTCACAGTTGAAACATAGGGTGCTGTGACCCAGGGCTCACACTTAAAGTGGGACATTTGCATGATTGCACCCCAGAAAAGGTAAGGGCAAAAGATCAAACACTGGAGGGAGTGCACTCAGAGGGGTCCAAGATGCAACTAACCTTGTAACTGTGCTAGTTCCCATTTGATAGATCTGTGGGGAAAAGCAGCAAATATACTATTGTTTTCCTAAGTATGTCACTAAGCCAACACTTGCCCCTTTTTTCTTTTTTGGTGCTATTACACTAAGCTCGGGTCTACACTACAAACTTACTTTGGTATAAAGCTAGTACTTCATTGTTTGGGATGTTGACACCTAGCGCACCGACATAACTGACTGAGCAAACAGTGCTATGTCAATGATAGGACTTCTCCCATTGATATGGCTACTGCCTCTCCTGGACGTGGAGTACTGACACCAATGGGAGAAGCTCTCCTGTTGGTGTAGGCAGCATCTATATTACACTGCAGCTCGGTATGTATAGACAAGCCCTAACACACAATACACATGCCCACACTCCCTATAACAGAGGTCACCAACTAGTGGATCGGGATCTACTGGTAGATCTTGGAGCCGCTGACAGGTGATCCTGACTGGTTTGGCCGAGAGACTATCAAGTGCCAGCACTTCAACTGCCCCCTCCCTCCACTGCTGCGAACCTCCTTCCCTTTGCCTTAGAGCTGCCTCTTCCCCAGGGAGCCTCCTGCTTTCTGTACAGGGCAGAGGAGGGAAAGGAGGGGCACTGATGTCAAGGTGCCCCCTCCTACTCTCTATCCTTTCTCCACAGAGCAGGGCAGGGGGCACAACAGGATTTGGAATGGAGTTTGTTGGCTGCTTTTGGGAGTGGTCCAGGGATGAGCCTGCCTTAGCCCTACTGCACCACCATTCAGGAGCCAATAACAGTGCCCAGCTGGGGCCCACATCCCAAACTCCTACCCCAGTCATGAACTCGCTCCTGTACTCTAAGCCCCTGCCCTATCCCTGAACACTCCTGCATCCAAATATCTTCCCAGAGCCTGCACCTAGAACTCCCTCCTGCACCCCAACTGCCTGCCCCAAGAGAAGCTCAGAGCCCCTCTCACACTCAAGATCACTTAATCCAAAACCAGAGCATGCACCCCAACCCACTGCCCCAGCCTGATGAAAGTGAGTGAGGATGGGCAAGAGAGGGAGGATTAAATGAGGACGGGCGGGGCCTTGGAGAAGGGGAGGAAAGGAGGCAGGGCAAAGGTATTTATATTTGAGGTACCTCTTGGATTTCACTTAAATTCAAAAAGAGATCTTGTGCTCAAAAAGATTGTCCTATAATGTGGGATATTCGATGGTAATGGAGTAAAGGAGAAAAAGTGACTCAATAGCTGCGCAGTTCTGGGTGTCCTGTAAGGTCAAAAATTATCATATCAAATCTCATTTGTTTGCACTTTGATCACTTGAAAACTCAAAGACTTCTGAAAACATGCTTCTAATAAACCTAACGTGCAAACTGCATAATCCTCATCAGATGAGACATTCCTGTAAAAAGCTTGAAAAGCTTCTTCAAACTTCAGCAAACTTGCCTTTTAGTAAAACATTTTATGCCCTTTGATGGTTTGCCAAACTTAACCAATTTGCCACGTGTCTTCCAGACATCAGGGGTTGTCTCCTGGGGCTGCTGGATGGCACCGGCCCTGGTCCCGTGCTACCCCCAGCCAGGCTGCCGACTCTGATGTCCCGCCCGGTTGGCCCTCCTGCCCTTAGGCTCTAGGGATCTCTGCTCCAGGATCATCTGGACTACAGCTGTTACCAGTCCAGAGAGTCCTGGATTTTGGAGGTACAACCCGTAGTAAATTCCTCCAGTTGTAGTTGATTGAAAAATTATGGCCAAGTATGACACTGTATGATCACACATTTACACAGCTATGAATTAAATGTTCTTCTAGCATTAACAAAGAGCACCGTTATGAACACACAAACACACAGGCACATACACTCTCTGTGGTCTCTATAACCTCAGTCCCATAGTTGTACTGAATGGAAATCGCAAGAAGGAAAAGTCATTAGAATTCTCAATGAAGGCACAATACCAACTTAGCCATAGCTGGGAAAAAGTCAGTCTGGTGAACTGAAGGGCTTTATCAACTTAGCCTTATACCTGTGGTCTCCACCCTTTTGGGGCTTCTGGGCTCCCGGAGGCAGGGCCTCTCATGCACTGCACGCCTGGGGTGGAGGCCGCTCATGCGCTGCGTGCCCGGGGCAGGGGTCGCTCACGCGCCATGCGCCCGGGGCGCAAGAATGGCTTGGTCCGCCCTGATCACTCGATGGGCGCACATAAATGCCCCAGCGGGTGCCATGGCGCCTGTGGGCACCGCGTGGGGAACCACTGCCTTATACATTTCCAAAGACACACTGACATTTTTCAAAGCTCTTTTCCAGCTAATACATGTAATTAGGTAAGCATCTGCAATGGACACAATGTTCCTCAAAGAATTCCTATTACCTCAAAATAAGCATTCTGAAGAGGCATTTTAAACAGAGCCCTTTGGAAGCTAGGAGGACATCAAAGCGAAGCAGATTTATGATGAATCTTCATATTTAAAGGCCTAGTTGATTTGGGCCTACCTGATGGACGAAGCTATGTGTTGTATCTTCCCAGAGCCTTTCTTACTAAATGATACCCCCAAATGCCTCATACTTAATGAAAACCCAGGACAATTTAAATTCAGAGCTCTATCAATAACCGACCTTCTTTTCCCCTATCAAAGGCAATTTTAATGGATTATTATTATTATTTTTTGTCTCTTGCAAAAGTATAAAGGAAACTGATCACGTACTTACCACAGTAGGTATAAATGAGTTTTGAATCTATAAAGCGAACTTTGAGGTTGTGTAGAACAGCAGGTTCATGGAGATAACTGAGTGCCGTGAGATCATTTTCACCAACAAGAATATCAGGGTTTCTTAACGGGGGCAGTTCCTTCGTCTTCGGATCAAGGCAGTATTGCAAATCCTGAAAATTCAACACACACACACATGAAATGAAAAGGAATATTTTTATATTTTCCATTTTTGGCTTATCCCTCCAATTTATCCCACTAATCATTTTCCTTTGGTAATCATTCCCTGTATTTGTTTAACTTGTCTTGTGCATTTTTATCTGCTGCTTTCTCCTAGGATTTTTTAGAGCAAGACCTTAAAGGTTAATTTAAAACAAAATAAAATTCTTCCCCTTGCTGCTAACAAAATAGATTTAACTAAAGCTATATTAATTATAAAAATCCAATCTAGTTTTATATCATTTATGATGTATATCATGTTCCTTTTGAGCAGAATGGACAAAAAAAGATGGTCAAACCGACTATAGCGAAGTAAACTACAGGTTGGACCTCCCTTATCCGGCACCCTGGAGACCTGACCACCCCGAATGAGGAAATTTGCTGGATTTGGGGCGGTCCCCTGCCACTGGCCTCCCAGGACACTCCTCCTCCCTGCAGTTGGCTCCACTCTGGCCTCATTGCACTGAGCTCCAGCCTGCAGGGCTTGGACTTGGGTTCCAGCTCACTAGTGCTCCCTGGGAACGGAGCTCCCCGGGAACGGAGCTCCCCAGCCTCCGTGGCCCTGCTTCTCCACCGCCTGACCGGGAATCCCCAGGGACGGGGCTTGCTTTCTGCTGCACGCAGGGGACGGGGCTTGCAGGCCCTGTTTCTGCTGCGCTCTGCCAGTGATACCCAGGGAAAGGGCTTGCTGGATGCCCTGCTTTTGCCGCTGGCTGCTCCGCTGCTGTATTGCTCAGCAGGGACAGGGGCTAACCAGGGACGGGGGCTCACCAGTGCCGCTGCTGCCCCACTGGCTGGAGCTCCCGGGGAACAGAGCTCCCAGACGGTTTACACTCCTGAGCTCCAGGACTCTCTGGTCCTGCTGGACCACAGATGTTGCCAGATTAGAGAGTCATAGATTTTGGAGATGCAACCTGTATCTTGTTGTCGTTTAATAACACAATGTGAGAATCCTGGGACAGCAAAACTAAGAGGAATATTTAAATCAATTTTTTTTTTAAATATGGAGCTATTCCCATATGCAAAGCAACACAAACTGTAACTCTAACATTAAGCATCCTGAAAATGACATTATCTTTTCCCAATGCAATTTGCGATGACTGGAAAATGCAACCCCATTCTGCAAGTGTGACATACAAGTGAGTAGCGCTTTCAGAAAGAAAATTTGGAAATTTCTGGGTCCTTTGGGGGCAGGTGGGTAGTTTTCATCTATATTGTTATATGGAAGTCTGGAAGGACTATATGACATTTGGGAAAAAACACTGAAAAACAGGTAGATACAATTCTACCTGTGTAATCTGTTATTTTTATTTAACTACTATAGGCATCTTCATGTAAGCAAGTTCTATATTGCTTAGTGGAGAAAGGGCAGACAAATTAAAATAAACAATTTCAGTAGATGATCAGTTTTTAGAAACAGATCTTACTCCTGATGTATTGGCCACTACATCTTACATGAAACATTCATCGTCAATACATTTACATTTCTTTAACAAAAATAATCTGATGCTTCATATCAAGGTAAGTGTTTCCAGAGATCACCATTTCTATAAATAGAATATGTTTCTTCTCTTCTTGTGAAAATCTCCACAGCAGCTAACTGGGATATCAAATGTGACTATGACTTCAGTTACAGAATAAGCAGAAAAGAATGATACAATAAAACATGAGGAAACTAGGAAAGGTGGATACGATGAGCTGTACAAATCCCACACTGAACAACAAGGGGTTAAGGAATTATTTTGGGATCAGCCAGCCTCACCCTGCCACACCTGCAGCAAATGCTCCATTTGATGGAGGAATTAAAAGACAGGAAATGGGCTCATTTGGATGGCAGAGCTGAAGGACTGTAGGTTTGTTCTTAAGTTGAATTTGTATGTAAGTCGGAACTGGTACATATTGTAGGGGAAACTCTAGCCAAACATTTCTCCAGAGCTCAGTTTTATTCTCCCACACCTCACTACCCTCAGTCCTTTATTCTCAAGCTGAGGAGTCTGCTGAGAAAAGCCGCTCCACGTCTCCCTGGTCTGCTGGGAGGGGTGCTAGCTTTGCGTCTCCCTGGTCTGCTGGGGGGAAGCAGCTAGTGCGGGGTTGCCTCACCCCGTTTGTAAGTAGGGATCAACCCGGGGACTGCCTGTATATAGGAAAATCGGGAGAATATAATTGCTGTCCTGTATAAGGGATAACTTTGAAAGACTATGAGCCCAAACAACTGCACATATGTCAGTAGGGCCTAATTTGAAAAGTTGACCTTTCATGCTACTATACAACGGCCTGCTGCACATAGCAATGGTCACAGGCCTAATGACAACATGTAACCTTACCTTGCCCTCTTCAAGTCGAAGCTGGAGGACTTTATCTCCTTGTTTGTAATCTTTGAGAAGTTCTGCTGACTTCCAGACTTCCTCTGGATCAGGGATCCAAACCCTGGCATACTGCAATACAAAATCAACAAGCAACAGATCAGCAATTTCTCATAATTTATAGTCAACTTAAACACCACCAAAAGTTCTACTCCTATATACAGTAGATTTCTGATAATCCAGAACCTATGAGACTTAGGTGGTGCCAGATTATCAGATATGCCAGTCTATCAGGAGGTACTATAAGCAGGTTATATATATACTGTATACATTATATACTATATATAAAGTGTTCTTAACCCTTTTTATTGTACATATTGTATACAGTATACTGTAATGTTTTAGTTTTTTTAAGCCTTTTTTACCCTTTTTGCTCCGTTCAGCTGCTGCCGCTGTTACCTTGTGACTCTTTTTTTGCCGAAGCTCACTCACTAGGCTCTTGCCATTTTTATGCCGGACTATCAGGAGTGCCGGACTATTGGAGTTTTACTGTATTTGGACAGCATCTGAACATTCAAGTAATGGCTATCACCGTAAATTAAAAGGTTTCTCATGAATATAATAACTATTCTAATCTACTAAGACACACATACAAGCTGAATTTTATTTCCTATTCTCAAGGGATGTCAAAGCATTCATTTCCAATATAAAATAGCCTTGGCAAGATATAAGCTCAATTCTGAAACTGTAGGTAAAAAAAACATGTTAACAACCAAGAATTTATTTTCTAATCGATTTAATTCAAACCAATTGATTTGAACAATTCTAAGATGTACTCTATGCAACAAGGAAGAAGACTAAAATATAGCAAAGTTTTACATTTCATAAAACACTCGTCTCTATTTCTGTGGTAAATTCTAGCTAACATGAGCTACAGCTTTAAAAGCTACTGCCCATTTTCCTTTGTGTTACTGCATTCATCAGCTAATTTAAGAGAGGTTATCATCACAGTATGAAAGGAATGCTTCCAAAAATTGGTAAAAAGCAGTTTTCACACAGAAGAAAAATCTAGAATTACAATTAATGACTACATTGCTCTAAGCAAGAATGAATGGACTTTAATCTATGTTCATATTTTTCAGATTTCAAAAATACTAGATGTGTCCCAAACTTGACAGTTTACTTCCTCCTCCCACAGAAGGGATCAAAATCAGATGTGAACCACGCAATGACTACTCTCTTCAAGTGCGGATCAGAGAGGAGATAATTCTAACAATAGCATTTAATTAGTATAATTGATTCTCAAAGTTTATACTTAGCTTTGGATCATACAAGTTTCCCCATCAGGTCAGACCATTCTAGTTTCTTAGGTCTAATATTGCACAGCATGAAATGTCTCTGTCTCTGTCTCTGTCTCTGTCTCTGCCCTACCCACCCACTAATTCACCTTGTTCAATGGTGTACTTGACAGAAAAAGCCTTCCTAGCAGGAGATTTGGTTACCCATATTTTTTTTCAAAGGCTTTAAAACTGTAATGCACCATTATGATTGTCTAAGTCTGGCCTCCTGCAGGACACAAAACAAATAATTTCACACCGTAATTTTTGCATCATGCCCATATATTGTGGTTGAGTTAGAGCTAATTTTTAAAATGACATTCAATCTAGATTTCCAAACTTCTTGGGCTGTAGAATCAGCCACATTCTTTCCTAAATTGTTCCAATGAGACAAAAATAGTCAGCATGATAAACAGCAATCTGATTTTTTATTCCTTTTTTGATGCATGGTCTTGTATTAAAATGCATGTCATTTAATGGATCCTAGCTAATAAGCAACCCTGATCAGTCTACAGTACTGAACTTGCACTACAGGTTGAAGCTGTTTAGTCCGGCACCCTCTGGTCTGGCAACATCGGTGGTCCAGCATGATTTTAGTTCGGTGGATATCCACTTATCATGGGCATGGCCAAGTTTCCCGTAGTCCCATAAAGTTTGTTTACAGCCACCAGTCCTGGCTCTCAGTGTTCTGCACTGTTATTTAGCTCTAATTTACCCCTACATGTCTTCTAAAAACCCAGTAAGCAGTGGGAGTGTTGGTAATGCCGTTAGACAATATTGACCTCCCAGGGTTTGGCAAATTCTCTGGTTTGCATCTGTCAAGTCCCAAAGGTGGCAGGCTAGAGAGGTTCAAACTTATACAAACAATAAATACACTGATGTTTGTATCATCTACACATTTTCATCAGCAGTGACTACACCCTCCTCCCTCCCCTCCCCCCCAAACATTGATAAAGATATCAGAACTGGCCCTGATGGACCCAACTATCCCCCATCTACTGAATGATGATTTCCCATAATGATTTTTTAATTTTTTTAAAATTAATGGGGATTGCCTATCTCCTAGAACTGGAAGGGACGGTCATCAAGTCCAGTCCCCTGCCTTCACAGCAGGACCAAATACCATCTCAGACAAATTTTTGCCCCAAATCCCTAAATGGCCTCCCCAAGGATTGAACTCACAACCCTGGGTTTATCAGGCCAATGCTCAAACCACTGAGCTATCCCTCCCCCTGATGATGATTATAAATTAATTGGAAATCAATTGTTAGCCAGTCTATTTAATGCATGTCACAATGATTTTGTAGTCTGCTCTTTTTAAAATCAGAATGTCATGCAGGAATCAGTCAAATGCCGTACAGAAGGCTAACTATATTGTGTCAATACAATTATAGTTATCTTGTGCTGACCAGAAACCAGAATCCCCATTGTGCTGGAAATTCTAAAATTTTTACACACACACACACACACACACACACACACACACGACCAGACCAAATTTCCAAAATGTCCAGCAGAACATCATTTTGATATTCAAAAACAAAAAAATTGAAACACGTCATTTAAATTTTCTTTTGGTCAAACTAAAGAGTTTTGTTCTTATCTAAAGGGCGAATTGATTTTTATTGACAACTTTTGAAATATTTCAATTTATAATAAAATGATGTGTCAAAAACAGGATGACTTTATTTTTATGCAAATATATTACATTATCTGTTTGGCCAGGCAGCTAGTGAGTCTGCCCATCTGGCCAGGAGCCTGCTTAGTTTCCAAAGGACATTTTGGTCCCATCAAATCCACGTTTTCTCATGGAAAACTGTTCTGTTTGATTAAAAATAGTATCGGTTGAAAATTTTCAACCAAATATGTGATCTCATCCAAAAAGAATCCCTCATTTGAGGAGACCTATTTTCCATAAAATCAGGTTGCTTTTCATGTTGTCCAACTGTATTTTCTATTCTTCAAGTATTTAAATAGGCCGAAGTCTTGAAATATCTGCTGTTATATCAGCTATTGTGAACATACATTATTCTAAACTGGAGATGAAAAATCTGAAGAAAACATCTCCGCGTATTTACTTTGCTTACTGATTAACCCACTCCTGAAATAGCGGTGTCTGACTGATCAGAAAACTACCAAATATACAAAGACAAAAGATTTCTCTGGTAACTGGATTGTGACAACCAACTAGGTCATTTTTCTGTACTTGTTTCAAATGATTAAGCTATATATCAGCTCAATATTATAAAAGTATTCACAGCCACAGTAACAACTGCACCTTTTAATGTACATAAGTACACCCTCACTTTAAGCAGAAATTAAGTGTCTGTCGTTACGTTTGACAATCTCATCCTAGGCGTTGCAGCACTTTGCTCCACCAGAGGCTACATGGGAAACTTGCCAGAACTGTGAAGGGTGCACACACACTTGGTGTAAAATAGAGCAGCTTTCACCTACTCGTTTGTAACTGGGAGGCATGATCTCTGAATCAATCCATAGTGCTGCATGCTAAGAAAAGTAGTTTCCACAGGCCACAGCTGTGTATTAAAAGTGATAGGCCTGGTTCATGATGGGCTCCCCTCGGCACTAGGCTGATGACGAGCCATTTTAAAAGTTAGTCTAGTCAGCCCTTAACCTGCCAGTGCTATCCTCCTATTCTGTCCCATGGGTGGAATACAGCAGCTCACACAGGGCTCTTCCTGTGATCTGGTGAGAGGCAAACAGCCCTTGAATAAATATTTAATCTGGGAAAGGGAGTGGTTTACTAGAGACTTACATGCCCACATTACGAAGACACATGATGAAACTCTGAGTCAAAATAAGACTGATCTCCAAGCAGGCATATGCCAATTCTTTTTGTTCAAATTAAATAAAAATATGAAGCCCATTAATAATGATTCTCTGGTACTTATCTACAGTAGGATCACGTTTTCTGCACTAAATACACATTCCATTTAGATAAAGGAGAAAAAAGTTGGGTTAATTTCCAAGAAAAAAGCCTGATCAGCAATAGGCTGAGACAATCCTGATGGTACATGGCACCCTAACAATCTTCTTTGATCTGCAGCCCAATGTGGCTTAACCTTGGTTAGAAGCTGGAGGAATTTAACAGACATTTCCAGACTGCTAGGGTTTGATTTTAGAGATCTGTTGGAAACAGCATATGATTATAGGGAGGAGGGGGAAAATATTAGCTTATTTTAAACAGTGTTTTGACATTGTTAGGCAACATGCTGGCCAACAACACTGGTTCTCATGGTGGGCACGTGGGGAAGCTTTAGAAAAGTACCAGAAGATTTACCCAGCATTGCTTGGGTCCTTAATTCATTTTTGGTTTTTGGAAAATAAAATGAAAATGTACATGCTTCTTTTAAATCATTACTGAGGGGTTCAGTATGCAGGCTGCCCTAGGGCAGAAAGGACAACCCCAGCCCTCTCTAACAGCAGCAGGTTGAGGCCAGGCGAGAGGCGCCTCTCCATGGCCGCTGTAGCTCCAGCGGGCACAGCCAAGGAAGGGCATGTCCTTCGGCTGAGGTAGGTCCAGGTTCATCTGCCCCCTGTGTTCTTCAGCCTGAGTGAGGAATGCAGCAAACTGTGCACTTTCCCCTCACTCCCTGATGAAGGGGAACAGCCAGCAAAGTTCCCAAACGAACTGGGGTGGGGAGCTTCTGCCCCTCCCATCTTCCCTAAAGGGCGCCGAAGGTGAGGAGGTTCAGGGCTGGGTCAGTCCTGGGCGGCAGAACCAGCCACTTTCACCTTCCTGGTGATTCTGTCTCTCTTCTGTATGGTTTTATG